AGTGTGTAAGCTGGCATCTTATATTTTACAAGGAGTTTACACATACACACTGCATATGCTGTATGCTGAAAAAAGACCAGTTTTTCATAAGGTCTCAAACAATTTTCACCAGTACATGATTCAAACTGCTTTACCAAAATCAAGATTGCAAAAAATGCAATGGTTAAGCTGATGTACAGTACAAGGGATCAAGCCGACTCACGTGAAGCGTGTAATGCATACAAGTACATAGTGGGTGGTGTGTTTGGGTCATTATTGCAGTCAGGAGAATGACAGGGTGGTGAGTTAGGGTTAGGCGTTTACACACTACATGTTTGAACATTTAACGAAAGAAGTTCCAAATCAGTTTACCGATTTTCCCAAATATTAAAACGGAACCACCCCTTTTACTAGAGGTTTAATGATGGCTTTCATTTTTATTGTAAACGATGTAATACATGTAATCTGATTTTTGAAACATTTTACTGCTCACTCATATCAAAGGAATGAATTCATCACCGGAACTTTATGTAGGCCTATACTATAGTAGACATTTCATTTGTCATGTTTATTGTGTTTCTTAAGCCTAGGTTTTCAATGACAATCGGCGAGGTGGTTTACATGTTTAATCAGTATGGGAAATTTCTTTAAACAATTTTCAAATTAAACATAAATACCCACCCTTAGTGATGACAGTTGTAAAAGTTAGCTTTGAGGAGGGCGAAAAATACGGAGAAAAATACTCACGTAGGCCCAGCTCCTCCAAATTTTTCGCTTTGCCCTCTGGTGGAGAGAGCGCCCTCAATTGGTGGCAAAAATTAAACTCGCGAGCGCAGTCTGTTATGTTGCTTCGAAAACCCATTTTCAGTGGATCGGTACGGCGGACGTACCACGCGTACGGTAGGGCCGGCCGGACAGACAAACTGCTAACAACGTGTCATGCACGTGGGTGCGGTGGCACGCGCACATATTGGGCCTATTGGTCGCTCTAATCCGTTTATTTTCGCGACTTTGTATATCATCTAGCCCATGTTAGACCTGGGTTATGTATCATCAAGAAATTAGTCTTTGGGGAATCGCTGGCACATCTACGTGATAACATTGATGGAGTAAGTACAACGGATTTTGCTTTTATTATTGCACACTTTTCTAGCCCCCTACATCCAGGCCTAGGTGTTCTAAGCGCACAACGTTGCGCTATTACTCTGACTTCCACACCTGTGATACATGCATCCCAATGCAATTAATTGCATATCCATGTAGCCTGTCGCCAAGTTATAGAGCAGGTTAATTTATTTCCATATAATCTTACAATGACATAAAATCCTCAACTTTTATCCAGTAGTCAGTACAACTACAATGTGTTAATAAACCGCATGGTTTGACTTCACTCAAGCGTAAGCTTGTGAGTACCAAATGTTTCCTGCTATACGTTAATTGTAACACAGTAAAATATACGTCTGTTGTAAGCGCACAACGTTGCGCTATTACTCTGACTTCCACACCTGTGATACATGCATCCCAATGCAATTAATTGCATGTAGCCTGTCGCCAAGCTATAGACTACAAAAGAGCGGGTGTGTGTTACTTAACTGACAAATAGCAACTAATTACCAACTGCTAATGAAAGCAAATAAAAACGATTTTTGAAGAAAAAAATGAAGTATCCCAGCATCTGGAAACAGGCAAAAACACACTCTACAGAGGCCCAACTGTTATATGGCCAGTTAAATGTCAAATATTGAATACTGTGTTTATTTAAAATAAAAGAATACTTAACTTCAAGTTCTTGGACTCGACGTGATTATGCTTCATGGAGCTACAGTTTGAACATTCTTGAAAATGTGATTGTTACAGGTTCCCATTTTGCTTTGTTTTTTTTTTATATATGTATATTTAGATATCGCTGCTCATCTACTGCTGTTTATTAAGTGGCTCATCCTATCACATTGAAACAATGTAATAGTGCAACGTTATTGTTATCAGGCTTTACTCACTTGGTTACTTCCAATCTGTTTCCAGGGAGTCTACAACGTAACCATCTTTCGACAAATCGCTTTTCCATCTTCCGTGCCTTCTCCAGCACCTTTCATTTACAGATGTTCTTGCTGCCATGGATGCTCCTCCAGCCCTCAGTGAGTGCAAACCTACATGTATGTTTGTATCTCCACACACCTCCTTTAGTCTCGCCACTACTGTCTCCCTGGCTCTAGTGTAACTTTAGGAAAGAATTCCATATACGAAGTTCACTTTTTAGGAGAAATTTTTGCTCCAGNGGTGTGTAAGCTGGCATCTTATATTTTACAAGGAGTTTACACATACACACTGCATATGCTGTATGCTGAAAAAAGACCAGTTTTTCATAAGGTCTCAAACAATTTTCACCAGTACATGATTCAAACTGCTCTACCGAAATCAAGATTGCAAAAATGCAATGGTTAAGCTGATGTACAGTAAAAGGGATCAAGCCAACTCACGTGAAGCGTGTAATGCATACAAGTACATAGTGGGTGGTGTGTTTGGGTCATTACTGCAGTCAGGAGAATGACAGGGTGGTGAGTTAGGGTTGGGCGTTTACACACTACATGTTTGAACATTTCACGAAAGAAGTTCCAAATCAGTTTACAGATTTTCCCAAATATTAAAACGGAACCACCCCTTTTACTAGAGGTTTGATGTTGGCTTTCATTTTTATTGTAAACGATGTAATGTATGTAATCTGATTTTTGAAACATTTCACTGCTCACTCATATCAACGGAATGAATTCATCACCGGAACTTTGTGTCAACTACATGTAGGCCTATGACTATAGATACATTTCATTTGTCATGTTTATTGTGTTTCTTAAGCCTAGGTTTTCAATGACAATCGGCGAGGTGGTTACATGTTTAATCGGTATGGGAAATTTCTTTAAACAATTTTCAAATTAAACATAAATTCCCACCCTTAGGGATGACAGTTGTCAAAGTTAGCTTTGAGGAGGGCGAAAAATACGGAGAAAAATGCTCACGTACATGTAGGCCCAGCTCCTTTTCCAAATTCTTCGCTTTGCCCTCTGGTGGAGAGCGCCCTCAATTGGTGCAAAAATTAAACTCGCGAGCGCAGTCTGTTATGTTGCTTCAAAACCCATCTTCAGTGGATCGGTGCGGCGGACTTACTACGCGTACGGTAGGGCCGGCCAGACAGACAAACTGCAACAACGTGTCATGCACGTGGGTGCGGTGGCTCGCGCACACGTGCACATAGAGCCCACTGAGGGCACGGTGGTCGCTCTAATCCGTTTATTTTTGCGACTTTGTATATCATCTAGCCCATGTTAGACCTGGGTTATGTATCATCAAGAAATTAGTCTTTGGGGAATCGCTGGCACATCTACGTGATAACATTGATGGAGTAAGTACAACGGATTTTGCTTTTATTATTGCACACTTTTCTAGCCCCCCCTACATCCAGGCCTAGGTGTTCTAAGCGCACAACGTTGCGCTATTACTCTGACTTCCACACCTGTGATACATGCATCCCAATGCAATTAATTGCATGTAGCCTGTCGCCAAGCTATAGAGCCAGTTAATTTTTTTCCATATAATCTTACAATGCCATACAATCCTCAACTTTTATCCAGTAGTCAGTACAACTACAATAAACCGCATGGTGTTGACTGAATAACTCCAGTTTTAACAAATTAATTTTAAAGCTCGTATACGTCGGTAGTTGTATTCCAATATTCGTACTTAAATGCCCAGGATAAAAAGCAGAGATAAAATTGTATGAGAAAAACAACTCTGGAAAACCTTGTGGAAGATGCCATTTTACTTGAGTATCGTCAAGTTAAAACTTATAAACATGTAGCATGCACTTGGTTGTTAAAATTAACCGACCTAGCTGTGGTGGACGCAGGCTAGAATGGCCTCACCTAGACCATCTTCACCCACAGCTAAGTTACGATTATGTAATTAGTTAAATTCCATTCAAATTACCTCTATTCATTGACTTCACTCAAGCGTAAGCTTGTGAGTACCAAATGTTTCCTGCTATACGTTAATTGTAACACAGTAAAACATATGTCTGTTGTAAGCGCACAACGTTGCGCTATTACTCTGACTTCCACACCTGTGATACGTGCATCCCAATGCAATTAATTGCATTGCATATAGACTACAAAAGAGCGGGTGTGTGTTACTTAACTGACAAATAGCAAATAATTACCAAATAGAAAAAAACTGCCGGTATGACCGGTTAACAACTGCTAATGAAAGCAAATAAAAACAATTTTTGAAGAAAAAATTGAAGTGTCCCAGCATCTGGAAACAGGCAAAAACACACTCTACAGAGGCCGAACTGTTATGTAGCCAGTTAAATGTAAATGTCAAATATTGAATACTGTGTTTATTTAAAATAAAAGAATACTTAACTTCCTCAAGTTCGTGGACTCGATGTGATTATGCTTCATTGAGCTACAGTTTGAGCATTCTTGAAAATATTTGTATATATGTATATTTAGATATCTCTGCTCATCTACTGCTGTTTATTAAGTGGCTCATCCTATCACATTGAAACAATGTAATAGTGCAACGTTATTGTTATCAGGCTTTACTTGCTTGGTTACTTCCAATCTGTTTTCAGGGAGTCTACAACGTAACCATCTTTCGACAAATCGTTCTTCCATCTTCCGTGCCTTCTCCAGCACCTTTCATTTACAGATGTTCTTGCTGCCATGGATGCTCCTCCAGCCCTCAACCAGTGCAAACCTACATGTACATGTATGTTTATATCTCCACACACCTCCTTTATTCTCGCCACTACTGTCTCCCTGGCTCTAGTGTAACTTAATGGTTTGTTTTTGTTAATTAGATAGCACTTTCCTTTACTACTGTATGCAGGTTTGAATAAATAGTGACCTGAGCCGGGCTCTATCTTTGCAGTGCTCAAATATCTCTTTAGCATTGTCACTGGACTTGCTGATGTCACTCCCTTGTGTATTACCACATCATTTCCTTGTCTATATTGATCGGTTTACTTTTGGCTATGTGTATCGACATATAATCATCGTAAAAACCTAAACGTACATCGTTACACTTGACTGCACTAACTTCATTAAATCTCACGAATCCATTGAAACATAATAAAATAAGCTCAGATCCCTTAAAACTAAAATATCATGAGATGATGAGTATTTTTCACACAACAAAACTAATTGCTCAATAGTAACCACTTCTTTTTTATGAACAGGGGTACTATTGTGTCTTTTGGCTGATTCTAATAGACTATTCACATAATGGTTATCAGACGGGTCTGTTAAAGCATGGTTAAAGTATGGCTTCTTCCAGCCCCCCCCCCCATGTTGTTGATAGGCTAATGTACATGTAGATCTTATACCGCTGTTAGAGTGAATGTGCCATTGGAATAGGGATATGCAGTCCGAAAAGCTCAATCACATGTACATGTAATCCCGTTTTACAGATGTATGCAGCACATTTTCCAAGCCTGAAGTGAAGACTCTTATTTTGTCAGTATCTGGTGATTCAAATTGTGTTTAAAGTGGCTTATTTGGGGGCAGATGTGGCTCTTTTGAGCTACATGTAGTTACCTGTCCCCCCTACCAGTCCACACCAAATAAGAATGAGTTGAAGGAAGACAGCCAGTGTAATTAAATTAATTTTGGGCTTGGTTTCTTGCCAGCTGACCTGTCTACCATAAGCGGAGAAGTTTGAATGGTATGGCTGAGCTGTCCACCGGTTGTAGCAGTAGTCCTACTACATCTGTTGCTCCAATTGATGACACATCTGACGTCCATGAGAATGGTGTGATTGTAATGCTGACCAGTAATGAGGTTGGCTATAGGAAATGGGACAAGAAACAGTTTTGCTTTTACTGCAATGTACCCCAGGCCAAGCTCCCTCGTCATTTCCAGTCATGTCACAAGGAAGAAAGAGAAGTCGTCAAGATTGTCTGTGAGCCCAACGCTAGTGTGCATAAGAAACTTCTGTTGAAAATTCGCAGTGTAGGTAATCGTAGGCACAATTGCCAAGTTCTTCGTGAAAGTCACGGTGTGCTCATTGTTTGGTAGAGGCCAACTCGCAAGGTATGCATATGGACTGTGCAAATATTGTTACTGTTAATTTTGTGCATACCAATTTGTGGCGACACAGGTGTCCTTTGAAGCCAGCTTCCTTTCCACAAACTGACAGCACCAGTAAGAGGGCTCGTGTGTGTGGACGGGTTTCTCACAATAGTGATTTGTTGAAACCTCCTCCTGTCGGCGTGTTGTTCCAGTTGCACCAGGTTCTTAGTCCAGTGAAGAGAGATGATGTGGCTTTGGTAGTCAGGGATGACACGCTGATTGTTGAAGTAGCCAAAATTGAATACATGAAACTCAGGCACGAGGTAGATCAGCATGACAACATCTGTAACAACGTACGTGAATTGCGTTGACTCATCATACAACTCCAAAAGAACACCCAGCAACCAAATGCATCACTTGAATCATTTGTCCATCCGAACCTGTCTGGTATTGTCAAGACCGTGCAGGATATTGCTGGTTTCAGGGAAGACAAACAGTTGTACGATGTTGAGTCCTAGCACTGAAGATTGGTTATTCCATCAAGAAGTTTGCACTCATCTTGAAAGGAAGTGCCCTAGAGTCCAGCCAAAAACACAAGGGGGAACGTGCGGAAGAGTTTCTGCAGTTGTGTGAAATGAACTGGCAAGACCTTGTGCCCACGCACGCACACAGAACGCTGTACCAATGAAAACACAACAAAGTCACCATTCTCCTGACAAATACTGATGTAGTCTAAATGTCGTCATTCCTTCATGAACCTCGCAACCGGGAAGTTCAACTCCTCCAGGGTGCTCGGAGCAAAGAAATCAGACCAGCTTGACAGAGATTGAGTGAAGTCACTCTGTGTCACCTCATCATGTTCAACCGAAGAAGGCAGGGGAGGGTTTCAAAGATGAAACTTGAAGATTTCCACCAGCACAGCACCGCCAAACTGGAATGGGAATGCCTGTTGAGTGATTTAGAACAGCAGCTGTGCAAAATATTCTGTGTTGTCGAAATAGTTGGCAAGAGTGACAGAACTGTTCCTGTGCTTCTAAGCAATGAGGCAATAGAATGGTTGAATGATCTGGTCGCAAAGAGACATGAGGCTGGAGTAGCCCAAGACAATCACCCCAATAAATGTATCTTGCCCAAAGAACTCCCAAAATAATGTTCCATTGTTGCCGGCCACCTCTCCCCTCATTCACCCACCCCAATGCCAAGCAGAGACTGCCAGATACCTGTATATACTTGTACTTTAACTGATGGATTGCAATGTTTTTTGTTTACTCGCAGAGGGCTTCACCAGCGAAGAGGACTGGTGGTCTATGCGTTTATATGTCTGTGGCATGCGCAAAATGGGAAAACAGGACGTGACAAGATTTGGAATGCTCCTTGGCATGTTAGTATTACAAACAAAAGGTAGGCTAATTGTCCAAATACAAAAGGATTTGCAAGTAATCGTGCAAATACATTCTGTTCATGGAATTTTGGAAGTTTCCATGATTGACTTAGTAGTTTGAAGTTTAATGAGTTGAGGTTTGTACTGTAGTGTGACATGTTATAGCTGACTGCCAGAAGTCAATAAGTTTGTCATGTGTCTGTGCTTGGTCCGACGCCCACGAGGCGGGGTGGATGTCAGACCCTTCAGTTCTGAGGGTAGATAAGTGGCACAAAGTCTGCTTTTTCAATCAAATTTTCCCATGACAATGAGAGCAACCATTAGGCTTGGGGTACCCAGGCTAAAGGAGGCTTTACACCAAAAATCACGAGGGTTTTCTCATTCTTCCATTTTCTTCCCAACGATCACACCCTACCGTCCATTTTGTGTGCATCACACAGTGCACATGCAGCGACAGCCAAGGGCGAGTATAGCCAAGCTAGTTCTGCATGTCATTTTGACTAATTTTTCGAGGTGGCATTTTTTAACCTGTCGCAGCTAGCACAGCAGTTGGCCTAATGGTGTCACTCCAGTCACATAGCTCAGAGGTCACTCATGCAATAATAACAAGATTCCACCCCATCCTCGATATGACCTTCCCTTGCTAAATTGGCAATTGGCCCGCACATGTGCACTGAGCATGTGATGCACGCAGATTGTTCAGTATAATATGATTGTTGGGAAGAAAACGGGAGATACGTGAGTAAACCCTCCAATTTTTCAAAATAAGATTGGTCTTAAAGTCTAAAAGCCTGCGTTAATTATACAGTTTTCAAGAGCTATACATGTACGTTAAGGTTGTTCTCACATGAAATTGGATTAAAAAGTTGCATCACCGGTCATGATACCTCAAAGGCTGGATTCAAAAAAACAGATAGCATTGCAACCCAGTATAAACAAACATGGCCGCAAGTCACACAAATTGGTGACTTTAGAACATCCTGTAGGCATACCCCACAGTTCTTGGGGTAAACCTCCTAAACATGGGGAATATCTTTTTCCATCAATCATGTTCTAACTCTCAGCCTGGGCCTGTCACCTAGCCGAGATTGGACGGCAATTTCGGTCTCTTCAGTTGGGGTTACAATGTGTACATGTATGAGACCTGGGTGAGACCATGAGAGGGCACAATTTTCCTAGCAGCGGTGGCTCCTTTGGTGGGAACTGTACCACAGGAGACTATGAAGTACATGCATCACAGTTGCATCACGACCCATAAATGAACTCTCCCCACCAACATGCATGACATGGCTCTTTTTGACCAATAAGGGGGCACGGGGTGCTTATGCTCAAGGCGGATAGACCTACGTGTACATGTACTGTCAGAAAGAATTCCATGATGTATGATGATGTACACTTATCGGGGCTTTTCTTCCCAACTCTAAACCTGAACATCTCTTCATTGTCTTGTTCACTCATTATCATCCTGTAATTGGCGCTAAATGCACTGTTGGATGATCAGATAAATAAATAAAATAAATGTAGATGTAATGTGGATACTGCTTGACACCCTTTGCACAAATGGACCATGGAGGAACGACACTGGTCTAAAATGTTCAAGTGTTTTCTAAGTGAATAGCAGCAATATTTTCACCGCTACGTGTAAATTTAGACCTTTTAGGACACTTTTTTATTGTTTTGAGCATGGCTGCTGGAACCAGGGGACCGCGGGGCACAGGCCCCCCTCCCCACTTTTTTGAGACACGAAAAAAATAAAAGCATGATATTTACACTGCATCTCTTCTAAGTTTGTTCATAAAAGGCTAGTTTTCTATTTGAAGTAATATAAGGAACGGAGAGAACCCCCCCTGCCTTTGTGTTGGTCATTGTTTGATCAGAATCTCAGGAATTCTTTTCAGACTTCTGGGGGGATATGTTAGATAACAATAGTCTAGAGTGTGTGCAGGGATTGGACAGGTAAGGTGGGTACCCCTCCGTCCCATATCTTGGTATATAGTTTTCAAAGCGTTTGGAAAGGCACACTTTGAGCCGACTTTGCCTGTTTTGTCTTGATCATCTACCATCTTTTCTTGTCTTGGATGTCGTGTCAAATTATGTCTTGTTCTTGTAAACCCATAGTGCATTTGAGCGGCTACTTCCGGGGCAGCTTGATAGGATGCATGCACATTATCTGGAGTCGTTATATGCGTACTCCCCGCATGTGCCCTGGAATAACACGGCTAGCTCACTCAAACATGGCAAACCCCGACTGGTAGCCTGATGGGTGGTTGCGCTGCAGCACACGCTGTATGCAGGGGATGTGTGTTTTTGTTCCGCATTATGATGATGCAGTGTTCTCATTGGTCACATTTCTGCGGTTTGAGTGCAAGGACAGTGACCTCTAGATCCATCGATTGCCCTGCTTGAGTCAGTAATAGTGAGCATAATTGTGTCTGATGTTCACCGTCAGAAAAAATATTGATACACAGAGTAATGGTTATGCATTCCTTGCTTAATGGATTAACCTTAACTTCCGAAGGGGCCCTTTTCACCATGCCCATGGCACGTTGGTCGTAAGTGACATTTGTTGGTCCACATTGAAGGCATGCATCATTTGGACACATGGCGCAAAACAAGATGGCAGGCAATATTGAAAGGGATTTTAGTTGCAGTAATCATAAACTCTCGCCCCTCAGAGTCGTCAATCTAGTTACAAACAATTCTTACAGTATGGCTGTTCTTATATTCAATAAATAAATATCCCAGCTTGTAATAATTCAAAAGAACAACTTGAAGAATCCTTAGAATAAAAATTCGACATGCACCTGACATACCGCGGCGGTAGGCAGTGAAAGTGGGCACATTATCAGAATCTTTAATTCTGAGAGATTTGACTGCATCTGGCCTTAGGTTTCATGTGCAAAGCATAAAAGGGGATGGCAACTGCCTCCGTAATTCAGTTTCACATGCAATTCAAGGGAAGTTTAATTTTATTCAAAAATGATAGCTATAGGGTAGAAAACTCCAAGCAACATTCAAAGTTCCTGCAGAATTTGAGTGGGTCAGTGGGGATGCAGAAATGAGATTGTGGCAAGGGGAGAAGATTTGAGAATTTGATAGAGACAGTTCCAGAATGTTAGTTTGAATAATTTACATGGTTACATATTAAGGCCAAAAATATTATGGATAATCTAACTTAATATTTATTTCAGACAATGAGTTTCTAGCCACACAACTGCATGTGTGCACAAGATTTGATGGAAAATGGTGTCCTGTATGCAGAGTTGTTTAGAGTATGTGTTGGAGGTAAGTAAAATAATTTTCATAGTTTAATGTAAAATATGGATTTGCAATTGCTGCATTCACTGATTGTTTCATTTGTTCAGTATAAAACATGGAATTCCCGAACTAAGCTAGGTAATTCCAGAGGTAGGTTTGTTAGCAAGGAATCTTAGGTGACATACACTGTACATATACGTACTTATTCCAATCAGCCATTGGTTAATAGACCCCTTTACTGATGACATGACGCTTTGTTTACTTGAGCATTCTTTATAGAGCTTTGAATTTTCCATCCTCGTGTCATCAGTACAGGGTTCTGATGGAGCCCTTCATTAATTACTGATCAAAGAATACATGTAAGTCTAAGTTATTTACAATTTAATTTAGATGTATCTGTGGAATTGTCCACCTTTTGACATTTCATCAAGATAAGGGGTCATCGAGTCATGTAACTTTTAAAGAATCAACCCAAAAATGACTTTCCCTCTTGTCTCTAAAAGGCTTTGAAATTTTTCTGTTGGAGAACTTGTGTTTCTTCCAAATCACATATTTGAAGTGATGCCTGATTTTCTCTGGAATCAGTTTACCTTCAAGTTATAAAACCAGTTCAGCTGTTGTCAGACATTAATAATCAAAGCTGTACCACATATATTTAATTTTTTTTAAATACCATTTGTTAAAAAACACCAAAAATTTAAATACAACACTGTGATGGTTAATAAGAGTGGGGGGACTTTATGGAACTGTTGCATTGCCTAAATAGTCTGAAAATCTAAAGTTTCAGTGGATTTCTGGCACGATGCTCTTTCAGTTATTCTTTTGCTATGTGACGAGTATGTCATTATGTATTCAGGAATCAGATATTTTGCCAGAAGTATGTGTCCAAATTCCTGGGTTGTCAAAATCCATACTGTAGGTAATGAATTGGGCAAATTATCTATGTGCATACATAATCTTAGATTCATTCTGTGCCAAAATACCTGCGTGTGTAATCATTCCTGGTAAAACGCTGCAGGTTCCTTTCGAGTTCTGTGATGTTTTCCACCAGACATTTTACCCACTTGGTGATGTGCAGTCAGGATGGGAGGGTGAGACCATCTTTATGCTATGGTCAAAACTTGGCAGCTTTTCAGCTAAGCACACGTTTTGTCCCACACCACTTTGTGTGTCTAGTTCCTCAAGTGTGTGAACATCATGATGGTGATAATGGTAAGTAAAAAGTATTTTAGAGAAATTCATTTTTTATTACATGCACACAAGTCTATTAAGACAACATACCCTGCAAGTAAGCAGAGATGCACTTGACCATTGCAAATGTAGAGTCGTACTAATTGGCAGACTAGAACAGTCCTATCCGTGCTGCTAAAATGCTAATTTGCTGAGGCTTACAGTTTTGATTTTTGTAGTATTTGACAGCAGTGACCAGATAAAATGATAAAAAGTTAATGCACGACGACGAAAACAGTCGCAGGTAAGTGGTGCTTTACAATGGGTCTTTGATACATGTACATCTCTGGATACCTGTAGTTAGGTGAGCAAACATCACATAGGAAATGCTGTTGTCATCAACCATGTCAGTTTCAGAATGTGCTTCTGCTCAACTGCCCCCTTGTGCATGTACATGTACTTCTCCAAGAGTAAAAAGTGAAGTTTACCAACGCTGTATGATTACTTTACGGTCTATTTTTCTTGAGCATGTTTTAGCCATTTTGTTTGAAATTGTTGTAATTAACAATTTGTGTTCACAGTCATGTTTTGCTACTGAGTGTCTCTCACAAGATCAACAAGAGACATTTTCACTCATTCCATAAATATGTGGACCATTTGTTCAGAAATTTTAACCCCTTTTCACCGGGAAGCGGTAAGAGCCGCTGTAAAAATTGAGATCCCTGTGCCCGCTTTTCAGCTATTATTCTCGGCCCACGCTCAAGCAAATACGGTGAAAGAAGGCATACCCTGGCTCTTGTATATATGGTAATTGGCCTTTGTGTGTTGCCAAGAAATGAAAAGGCCGAATTTGTATCATAATCACCAGCTTTACAATAGTCCCCACTTTGATAAGAGGCAACGGGAATGTGGAAGCGTGAGTAGAGCCGCATGCCACCGAACAATGAGCCTTTTCACTGTGTAAATCAAAGCATGCGGAGCACGCAGGGCCACAAACCAAGAATTTGCGGTTTGTTAGGTGGCCTTCGTGGTCAAGCGAGGCTGGAATTCTCGGAGTCGGCTTTCAGAAAAAAGTCCGGACGTCAAGGGGTTAACAATCTTGTAAAAACTCTGAGCAATCGTATATACATGCTATTCTGAAATAGGTGTTATTCTGTTATACTAATCTTCACATGATAACATGTTTAGTTTATCCAATTTTTTTCAAATCACTATCATTGCCTTGCCTGAATTTTTCAGTAACTTTGTTTAAAGAATATCAATCATATATATACAACGGTTGATCGACATTGCTGTTGACCAATTTTGTTGAGTTATGTTTCATGGTTCAAACAAAAGGTCTTTGGGTCTCCTTGCCTGCAGACTGGGTTTCTGACTTTCCTGGTTCTGGAAGATAATGTTAAAAGTTTCTTTACAGAGAGGAGTAAAATGTTGTCATCGAATCTTTGATGATTTACTCTTTCCTCCATGCTTTACCACAGAAAGCCAAACAGCAGAAAGCCTCGAAAAAGAACAAATCCATGCCTCAAAATGTCAGTGTTACGTCACGCACCGGTTCCATCCATGGCTCCAGAACAAATGGAGAGTGGAGTTGTCATACTACAGAGGAGCCTAATGCAGGTAGTAAACCAGATAACCAGCTGATTTATTAAATTAAAAGAATAAATATTACATGTGATGTTTACAAGGGGTTCCAACAAGAACTTGTAAAGGAATTCATTGTCAGTTGAAAGATTCTGTACATGTAGTTCAAAACATCCGTAAATGTTTCAGAGCAGAGTTTTTTCAAATAGTACTTAAATTAAATTTTTAATGTTAATTGTAAATGTATCCATTGTACATTCTTTATTAGCTAGTCCTAACCAAGAGAAGTCTCTTCACGAGGCATGGAGTTCACCAGCCAGTCCTCAGAAGGAGCAAACATCTCACCAGGAACCCAGTTCACCAGCCAGTCCTCAGAAGGAGCAGACTCCTTACCAGGTACCCACTTCACCAGCCAGTCCTCAGAAGGAACAGACATCTCATCAGGAACCCAGTTCACCAGCCAGTCCTCAGAAGGAGCAGACTCCTTACCAGGTACCCAGTTCACCAGACAATCCACACCATGAACCAAATTATGATCCACTGAGTCACTGCATAGGCACAGAAAAGTTTGGATTCTAGATGCTCTCTGGTGCAGTCGTGGGGGCTTTCCGGGCCACTTGCTTCTGTAATTTGGTCCCAAATCTGCTTGCATTTACAAAGTTAAATAATGACAAGAATTTTCAGTAAAGCCATAGAGCCAATATACATGTACATACGGTACCATAAAACTTGTTGCATTTGTGTTGCAGGAACTCCACCTCGTTGCTTCACAAATATTGATCTCTAGTGCCCCCCACCAATTCTTTTTATACTTTTATACCTTCCAACGGGATTATCTCAATTTACATACACTTAAAACAAAATTTTGTCAGAAAATTATTTTTAATTTTTGGGCAGGTTTAGAGATGTCCATAATGCACTGAAGGAAAAAAATTGGAAAATCGAGCTGAAATAAAAATTTCATGGAAAGTTGTAGTGGTTGAGTAAAATCAGGAGGTTTAAATTAGATTTGTGGAAGTTTGATGAAATTTCACTTCCTTTGAAATTGGAGGTAAAAATGTTGCTTTGGCAAGGCACTGGAGGGAAAAACCAAACCGCCAAAGTTAGGGGTTGCGCAGTTAGGGGCTTCAACAGTAAATGATGTTGCTGCGATAATAGTAAAAGCTGAAGGGATGCACTTTTTTGTTTTTGTTGTAGGAGGAAGTCATTAAAAGAAAACGATGGAGCAAGGACAGGCCAATGAGTGGGCAGCATCAGTGGAGAGCACAGAACCTGAGTAAGTTCCTTCCCAGCACCAGGTTATTCAGTAACAATCTGGATCGAGAAGGTGAACTTTATTCCTGCAAGTTTACTCATTTTTCCCCGTACTATTACATGTGTCTTAATGCCAACCTTCCCAGATCGTTCAAAATCCACCAGGAGATTTGTGGAAGATTTAGGAAGGTAGAGCCCAGCCTAGCCTCTTTGAATTCAAATGGGACTTGATGTGTCCATAGAAGTTTGGAGAATGTGTCATTCTGGGAAGGACTTTTAGGATTCAGAGAGGTTTCCAAGAACCACCATCTTTCTATGCTGTCCTTACATCTTGTTTCTTAAAAAATCATTTACTTTGTCTGCACTTTGTCAGCTCTGACACAAGTTTAGCCTCACAGAAAATGATGAAGATGACTCTGATGTTAGCCGTAGCAACAATTCAATGCAGCTTTCCACTGAAGAAAGTTGCTGCTTACTTTCTTTTTTCATTTTTTCAATTTTTTATGATGAAGTCACCTCTCTGTTTTCACTGCTGAAATTAACACCTAAAGTCAGTGATGACATCCGTATTTTATCTCTTTTTTGTTCTTCTCAAAGAGCGGGCTCAAGAGAGACTCAAGTTCCAGTGAGCACCCAAGTGACACCCACTCTGACAGTGATGAGGAGCAAGAACAGTGGATGGAGGAAACAGCAGGTAGATAAGCTGTCAATTGTCAGTCGTATTTGCCATCTGTGAAGAAATCAATTTTGCAGGTAGATTTGGCCCTGGTACTTCCTAACGTCTTAACCCTAAAAGAGCTTGCTCACATTGGACCACATCACAGCCCGCGGCAATCCCCCAAGCACTGGGCTGTCCAATGCTGGATTTTTTTACAAACTTCGTATACGTGACTTTCCATCTCGATACAAATATTGAAGTTTTATCTCAATCTGTCATATGGTTTGACAGTTACTTGGAAGTTGGGAATGACAACGGAAAAGTATACATTCTTGATTAACCTCTCTCAGAAAAAAAGGTGCTGTGCGAGAACAGTTTGTTGGATTTTCACAAAAACGGTGTCAAAATGACCTAAAAGAGCAAAACTCCAAAAGGCTTCTGGAAAATATGCCCTTTAATAATATTGGAAAAATATGTTAAAGGGAGATTCCCTCTCTCCTCCCAGCTCTTTAGGGTAAAATTGAGAGGTTCTTCAAGAAAATTCCACTCACACAGCCAGAGTTTTTACAATTTGTTAAATTGAGAAAGCAGTCACTGGGTACCTCCTGTTGTTTGTACATGTGTCAACTGGCTGAAGATGGACCTTTTGCGAATCAGCTAGCTTAGGCTGACAGATCCCATAATTCTGTGGGAAATGACTGAAGCCACTCACTTGTGGCTTTAATCATCTAGCCTCAGCCACACCTTTTGGACATTGCTTTAAAACCCACAACTCTGCTGGGGACATGCTCAAACAAAGTACATTTATTACAATGCATAGACATAACTGCTCCCTTTTTCTTGCTGTATTTTTACCAGGTGTTAAAGGTGATAGCAGCATGGTTGGTCCCCTTCCTGTTGGCTCATTTTCTGGCATCACTGAAAGAGTAAGGTGATAGCAGCGTGGTTGGTCCTCTGCCTGTGTGCTCATCCTCTGGCATCAGTGCCCCAGGAGAGTGAGCCATTACTTGTTTTACAACATGATTTGGGTTGTCACAACAATTTGTTTAAAGGTACAGACCACCATTTGTCTTTTGTGGATTACTTTCCTTTCAAACAACAACGTTACTCAAAATCTAAAGAAGGGAACACAAAAACGAACCTGATTAAGATGAAGTTGCAGCTTAATATTGAATGCTCCATTTTCTAGAACTTAGATCTCAGATCAAAAGTTGCTGAGCCATGTTTTAAATTGTGCCTGAATTCAGCATCAGGGGAACATTCTCAAATTCAGTGGAATGCAGCTACACCTTGTCACCCCCTGAACTGATGAATTATAGAAACTGCTAGTGTCTGTACATTGTGTCAACACTTGCATGCATTTCTAATAGTGACTTTCCAAAAATTTGAGAAGGCACCTGCTTGAAATCGTTCTTCAGGATGACCGTTTGCCAGAAAGAACAGTTTCTCACGCAATTAAGTCCTCTATATCTAAACCAGGTATGCGCTTCAACAACAATTTTGGATGCCTTTTGGATAACTGCAAATGATAAAATTTGCAGTACTTTCAACCCATTTGTCCTTATACAGGGTTCCCACAGTCATTGAAAAGCCTGGGAAAAGTTGTCCCAGAAAGTCATGGAGACTCACAGAAATTGGTCTGAGGAAAAGTCATGGAAATCAAGATCATACAGGGGTGATTTTGATGGTGGTTATAGATAGTGTGCAGAGTGGCATTAAATGCCTTCGAAATTGTCATATTTTAGTTCTGGATAGTGCAGGAAAGGTCACCAGTTTTTAGATTTCATTGGAACCTAGTCAGTAACAATCAGGGCCCAATTTCTCAGCGCTGCTTAGCACACAATTTCATGCTTACAGAAGCTCTGCATTTCATGCATACTGTAAACAGTAAGTACAGCCAAATGCATTCTCACCTTGGAGGAAAGATTTGCTTAAACTTACTGATGTAACAACATAAATGTCTATCCGCACGCAACCGTTAACACAACCACCCCGAGCACCGCCATGAAGTAGTGTTCAAGGTTAGCACATTTTTCTGCTAAAGCGAGCACGATTTTTCTTCTGACTGTATAAACTACTTTACACCGGTGGCAGTTATCAATGTTGATGATGCTGGGGCGGGATAATTATTATTTTTTTCTGTTTTCAAAATTTTATAAAAAATTTTTGTCTTCATTTACTGGACACTTAAACCCACACGAAGGACTGTCTGGTAGCCACTCTAGTCTGTCAGACGAAATCTATTGATGCCCAAGTATTTCAGCCAGGCCTGCAGCCTTGTAAAAAGAGCCCAGCTTGTGTGGTGTTATATAACTTTCTTTTGTTCACAAACCTGGCACAGTGCTCTGCTGACCTCTTTTCAATAGGGGCCAGATTAGCATGCAGCGGTGCTGTGTGGCTCATCACTGCGGTGGTGGATCGCTTTGTTTTTGGTGGTAATCCACTCGCACTAAATGCCCCAAACCATGGTATACTGTTTCAAAACAAGGCTGGGTTATCTGCATTATTGAGAGTGAAAAATGTCAGCAATGCCCAGCAGCCTGGTCTTTTGTTCCCGAGTACAGTCATTTATTACAAGGCCCAGTTCTCTTTGTCTGATTTCGGAGACCCCCACCACGTATATAAAGCTTCAGGTACGGGAAACCCCGGCGGCAAGTGGATAAGAAGCCTCATGAAATTGGGCCCTGACCCAACACAGCCTTTAACATCCTGCACTCCCCAGCACAGTACGATTTTATGGATTTAACAGTGATCCACAATAAAAGTCTATGTGGTGATGGGTTGAAACGTGGATGTTTTGCTCATTGGGGAAAAACTTTTTTATTACAGCGTGACTGAAAAACCTTAGGTGACCTTTCTGTGTTGTTTTTTGTCATTTTCCCCTGTGCTTAGATTTGGGAAGGCCTCATTGCCAGGTGAATGTACTGCCACAGCTGTCCTTGAACAGCTGAACGTTGAAGCTGGCTAGCATCATGGTTTGAGTGGACTGGCCAATGAAATCTCCAAAGTGAAGAGGCAGGTTACGTCATAAGTAGCACAGGTACGAGTCCCGAGTTTCATATCATTGCCGACTTTCTGCAAGGATGAATCCGGGAAAGGGGGAGGGGCCAATTGGGGTCATGACCAAAAAAGGAGCAAAATTGTTTTCATTTGAAAAAATGGAAGGATCTTTTTGATCTATTTAATTTCCCTTCTCTTGAAAAGTGGAAACGTAGCCTAACCCTTCAAAACAACTTTAAAATGAAAAAAAATTGGCCCCCAGAATCAAGTTTGTCCCCGCTCCCCGAAAAAAATTGGGTCCTGGATCCACCCTTGGGTGCTTGTGGCTAGCTTTTAGGGCAACCCTGACCTAGGGATTGTTATGTGCAACATATCAACCAAGCAAGATGAAAGGGATGAGGTTAAACCCTTGTAACCAGGGCAAGCTAGTTGAATGCTCCCACTATACTGGAATTCTTCACATTTTTGCGGCCTAAAGTTCCTTTTCCTTCATGGTTCATTGACAAACTACCATTGATCAATGGTCCACGTTTCCTGAGACATGTTCAAAATGTTCAACAAAGAATTTAGGTTTCATAGTTTTAATAGTAAAACTCATAAATGAAGCGTCTAATCATAGACATAAAATACCTTTAGACCGACAACAGCACGGGCATAATTTAAGGAAAGTCTCGATTTTTAATAACCACGAATAAATGGCTGTCTTGTCCCCCTCGGGTTTCATGATTTGCTGTGCAGCACTGCAGCTACATCAAAGAAGATGGATTGGGGGCAACTGTGGCAATTGTCCATCAAACATTATTTGGCCCTGTTGGTCTTTCTATTAAAGTTCTAATCCGGCGCAGTTCAATTTTTCTTCCTCATAATATTGCCCATTATTACAAGCCATTAGTAGAAGCCAAGGTGCATATTATGTGAAATTCAGATAAATTCCTGACATCCCTGTTTAGTGAATATTGTGAGAAGCAAATTCAATATATTTTCTCAAGTTTTATATGATAGAGCACTGAGAACTGTTTCCAAAACATTTCAAAAATAAAGTCTAAATTTTCAGATCACGTACATGTACATTATGGGGATTTGTTCAGGCTTTTTGAAGGTGAGCAATGAATATGGACAAAAAATTAAGTGTCAGTTTAGAGCTCTTATTTAAAGAAGGACCTATCCTAATTTTGACAAATATTGAACCAAACACAAAAAAGGACCATGTTGTAAACTCTTAACAGTATTTTCAGTCACCATCCAAAATTTCCGATTTGTATCAAACTCAACAGACTTGTGCACACTGTTGAGATATTTCTGCCTTCACTTTTGTGATCACTCATTGATTTTGTAGGAGGTGTTGTCGGTCTAAAGGTATTTTAGGTTTGTGGTCTTCCGTGATTGATGTTACAGTATTACTGTAAAACAGCGCCCTCACTTGTTTGGAAAGGGAAAGTCAATTATAAGTGTTTAAAAATGTCATTTTTTGATTTACTTAACCCTAAAAGGGTGTCTGGAAAAATATTTTTAACAAAAGAGTACAAATCACTGATGGTTTCAGATGTAATGGGTCACCAGTGTCAAAGGAATCCTCTTGTCACCGTTTATTTTCTGACATGAAAATGGATGAAAAGCAGACACTAACAGTTTTTAATGAAATAAAAGGTGTTAAAAAAAGGAGCATACAAGGATCCTATACTTTTTGAAGAAATGTCTCAATTTCTGCTGAACTAAATTCCTTTTGTGATCAATTTTGTCCCCAGACCTCCTCACATGAAAACTGTGGGTATGCCCTAAGAGAAGCCAATGCCAATGTGAAGAGCGCCCTTGCCTCCTTCAACCTGGAGAGAAGGAAGCTGGAGGACAAGATTCTATGGGACTTCACAGAGATGATTCATGAAGAAGTAACTCAGATAGATGCCAGTCTTTGCCCTCCATCACTGAGGAGGAACAGTTTCCAAGATTGCATGAGGGATGCTGACCAGAATCTTAGGCATTGATTCACAAAAAGGCAAGGAAAGAACTCAATCTTCTCATGCAATTCCTTGCTTCCACCTTAGTGATGGAGCAAGTGTATCTGCGTTTGTACACAACTCAAAGGATCAAAGGATCATACATAGTGATTAATAATTTAAAGAAATGGTATTCACATTGCAAAAAATGAGCATCATTTCATTTGGCTATTTTTCTGGCATTAAACAAGATACTTCTGCTACAGAGTACTGAAGTCTCATTCCACTGAAAAAAAAACTTTGGTTTGCACCTTGTCCATGTCCTTTACGGCCCTGAAGCGGATGTATAAAAAAATTGAGTTAGAATGATATCACAGTAATGTGAGGGCGCTGTTTACGAGTAAGAAGAATATCACGGTAACGTGAGGGCGCTGTTTATTAGTTGGAATGATATTGTGGTAATTCAAGGGCGCTGTTTACGAGTTAGAATGATATCAAGGTAACATGAGGGCGCTATTTATTAGAATATCACATTAACGTGAGGGCGCTATTTATAAATTACAATATCACGGTAAGGTGAGGGCGCTATTTACGAGTATAATGATATCGTGGTAATATGAGGGCGCTGTTTATGAGTTGGAATCATATCACGATAACAAGAGGGCGCTGTTTAAATTATGAGTATATTCTAGTAATACTAGGGCACTATTTGTGATTCTGGATCACAGAAACGAAGTGCTTTAAAGATCTCATCATGAAAAAATTACATGTAACTGTACAGACCCTTTCATTCAGTAAAATAATGCAATGTCTGAAATGTATGTCAAATTTCTTCTCCCAAATTACATTTTTTTATGATCTGTGAAAATGGTGATTGATACCAAAAAAACCAAATTCGTGGTTGTAACGACATTACTAAAAAGCATCACAGTTGTCAAAAACCTAAACACAAAATTGTTAGAGGTCCAATATTTCAGTCACTTTTCTCAAAATGTCTTTAAGTGAGACACATACATGTACATGTGCATGATTTTACCACAATAGGGTTGTATAGTACTCAGGCTGGCCAGTCTCATATCCCCCCACCCACAACTAAGACACTCACAGTCTCTCTCCCCTCAGAGTCGTTCCAACCTTAATTTATGCGCACAGAGAGTGATAGGTGGTCATCATAAGTTGTGCAATACCTTAGCAATACACATCACCAAATGCATTTTGACCGTGACCCTTCCAGTTAATTGGGCTCTGGAACACGATTAACCCAATTGTATTGTCTTATATTCTGTGGTGCTCAACCAAGCACGAACATGAGCTTCAGTGTACAATAAGTAAAGTCAATGAGGTATACACCTGGCTGAAATTATCAAAGACAAATATCTGATCCTATATATTTTGAGTACAGTGTAGTGTACATGGTGTACATTGGCATAAAGTACAATGCTGCTAAAATGAACAGGGTCCATACACAATGCGATTTCATTGGTACTGTTCAAATCGTCGCATTTTCATAGGCCTAAGAATTGAAATGTTCTGATTTCCATAAAGGGGTGAGTACTACAGTATTTGCCAAAACAGAGAGGGTACTATTTGCAGAAAGAAGAAGGTGCTTTTTTTTCTATGTTGAAATGTCAGTTGTTACACATACAAACGAGTGTGTAATTGTTCGTGTAAAACACATTCTTTTGTGCGGCTGCTTGTTTTGCTATGGGCTTATAATATGGCCGTTCCAATTTCGGACTTTAATTGACATCTTAACTTTGGAGTCACTGTCTATACCAAATTGTTCTCGTGACATTTTACTTACAACCAAATTATTCATTACTTAAGAGGTACTCTGTAAATTGGATAGACTATTGGTCAGTTTGCTTTTGAAGAAAGACTGTTGTTTGCCTTTAATTTGTTTCTTTTCATCATAATGCATTGACTGATATTAATGCACATTTAAAAACATGTTTACCTTTTTACTATACATGTACGATGTACTTCGAAATTTGCGAGTAATTACATTCGGGAAGACTCTAGACTTTGAAACTACTTCTTTTGAGGACTAAAAGCTTGTAACTATTGAATGCTTTTAAAAATTGAATGGCGTTTCCATTCATGAAGCCAAAACACCAGCACTATTCAGTCAACCAAGTGGCTGTTCTGAACCTCACTTTAACTAGTAAGCCCCCTGAACAGAGACATTGACAAATGGGAAGAACTACCGACATAGGGCTGGATAGCTCAGTTGGTAGAGGTATTCCAGAGGTCACAGGTTCAAAACCCACTCTAGTCAATTTTTTTGTTCATCTTCATAAGTTTTTCCTCAGACAAAATTCTATGTGTATTTTGTATTTTCCAAGTTGTACATCCACATTGCCAGAGCATTAGAAGTCTTTCCCTTAAAAGTATCACAAAACTGCAAATTGTTGGCTCAGTGCTGAAAGGTCATCACTACAAAAATGTAATTTTTAAAACATTTTAAGGGCCTTACTCTGCACGAAAGAAATGTTTGATTTAAACAGTTTATTTTTTAGTCAAAATTTTAACCAATTCTGTTTCCCAAATTGTCTAAAACAATAGTTTGCACTAAACACCTTTAAGTGCATTCTAGGACCTTTTAGCACTGATATGAGATTTTAATTTTAATGAAAATCTTATCTTGCAAAAATGCTTTGTGTGTATGTAAACAATCACCATTTACTGCTATAACCAGTTAATTTCTATTTGCAAGTGAAATAAATACTCATTTATTTAAACTAGCAGAACTTGTTTGTTCATGTACATCTATTTGTAAAACTGTAGTACTTTGCCACTTAACCTTTCTCCTAATCTGGACTATTTTACAGTGCCAGAGTTTAAGGTACATCTGTTTCCATCTTTAGATTTTAAATTACAGCCTCATCCTACACGGAAGCCCTGCCTGTCTTAAACATCATCCAAGCTCCTTATATAAAGTTCCCTCTTGGAGTCGCTTAGCCTCAATCTTATAAGGGCTACAATAAACCCAATAGCAATATGGAACATTAAGAAACTATGTCCTTCAACCCCATGGGATCCTCAGAGCACTAATACTGATGGTGCCGATATACTCTACCTTTCCTATCAGCTCCCAGACTTCCAAGTCCCTAGGACTTCCACCCTTGCCCATCTCCAATACACAGTTTGGCTGAAAAAATAGTCTAAGTCCAAACAATGGAAGGTTTAACATTTAGAAACGAGCACATATTTTCAA